GGTTGGTTCCCCTGGCAACCAGTCCCCATCCTTAGTGCTTTCCAAAACACCTTCATTAACACAGACCTAGCTGTGGTGGAAAGGGGCTTGTTATGAATAACAAGACACCCATTTCACCTTTATGACTGAAGCATTTTCAGAACTGAAGATGAGGAGACCAAATCTAACAAAAGATGCTCCCATTGCTCTTAGCTATCACTCAGGAAATTCCAAGGGTTTGGGGAGCTGTGAGCCAAGAACGGTGGATGAAGATCAAATATATATAAGAAATATGTTTCTTATAAATCACAATATTGCACTTAGTTCCATTAAAGACATAGTTATCAGACAATTTGCTTTCCCTACTGATCAGTAAGGTTTTTTGGCGGACATGTGAGGAAATTTAGATTTAGGCGTCTTAGTTCCTTCGGGCTGCTATAACAGAATTCCATAGACTAGGTGGCTTCTAAACAACAGAAATTTATTTCTCACAGTTTTGGAGGCTGGGAGGTCCAAGATAAAGGTCTTGGCAGATTCAGCGTCTGGTGAGGGCCCACTTCTTGGTTTATAAATGGCTGTCTTCTCACTGTGTCCTCAAATGGCAAGGGGCCGGGGAGCGAGGGAGTTCTTAGAGGTCTCTTTTATAAGGGCACTAATCCTATTCACGAGGGCTCCAATATCATCATCTAATCACTCCCACAGGCCCCACCTGCAAATACCATCATATTGGGGATTAGATTTCAACATATGAAGGGGGGGGGGGGGGGGGGAACAAACATTTGGTCTATAGCAGAAAGTTCCCTTTTTTTCTATAACTTGCAAATATTTAGAATTCCCTTTCTAAAATCCAGACAATTTTTAGACAATGCATATTAAATCTCATAATGGCAAACACTGCAAGCCAGACTCTTGCTGTAAACTCATCCTACTGTGTGTATCACCAAGTATTTTTGGTACTGTAATTGACAGCAGTGTCCCCAAAAGCTCAGACTGTTAGGAAAAATTCTCTAAAAAATTAGAGAATTTCAGATTATTTTGTTATTATTTTTAACTGGTAATAAAATAATAATACTCAGGTTAAACAGTTTCAGTTCTGTTACACTGAGTGTACACAATCCACTTAATTGCTGGTGTGGGAATATCCATAGCCTTCCAAACAGGTATATATATGGAGGAAAGGAACTCCATGAGTGGTCCAGTAGCTGAAAGTGGAAATCACGAGCACTGAACCAGCAGAATTGCTATCTTCTAGGTCAAAAATGTGAAATATTGGTAATTTCATATGGTTCAACTTATATACCATCTGGGCAAAGTGTGACTGATTTTGGTAGTTAGCATGAGAATTTGAGCATGAATAGAGATTTCACACTATGTAGTTTATAGATACAATAGAATTGCATTAAGCAAAGCTCTCAGAACACAATATATGGGGAGTTTTGTTGATATTAATTTGAGGACATTGGGGTTAAGAGGTAAGTCTGATAAATGTATCAATATATATTTAACTGAAGATCTCCTGTTACTAGGCATCAGGAGAAAATTTCCTAGAATGGCTCTTCATATACTTGGAAATGCTACTAAACCAAATTAGTATTCATCCTACCTTCGTTTATCTAAATTTATCTGTTGAAAAGCCTAATATTTACCAAGAATGGCACTAAGTTTTGGAATCCAACAAAGAAAACACACAAAACTTATTCTAAAGGATATAGAACTCTATTAAAATCTTAAGTAAGTATTCAATATCGGGATACCTGCCTTTCGTCAGATCTGGGAAAAGTGGGAGGGGGCGTTTTTCTGGCTGGGTATTGTCAAGTCCGTATGGGATGCCTGGAACTGTAGCAGCCATTTTATGACGAAGCAGCAAATAACTTAGGAGCAATAGTCTGAGTAAGATAGAAGGCCCTTAAATTCATTGAGGTCTATCTTTTATGTAAAACAACACATTCCCAGATCTTAAACCAGTCCCTCTCAAAATGCCAGCCTGAAACCAGATCAACAGCGAATGCTGGAATATAAATCCCAATCATGGAAGTTTGTCCACAAAGACTATCAGGTAGACTAAACAGTGCGGTCAGTGACATGGCTGTTACGTTTTGGCACAAACTCCTAATCTCATTGAGTCTGCAACTGGATTATTTCAATACACATTTGGTTGAAGAATCCAACTCAGCAAGAGATCTGGGAAAAATTCATTTTTATTCAGAAATATGGAAACATACACCATTTTGGTACATACACTAGGCCTGGGGTTTGCTCTTTTTAGGTAATTTTATCCTTCTTTGCTTCAATGCAATAATCCATTCAATAAATGCTCACTGACCACTCACTAAATTATACATGCAGGATATATGAATAAATCAAAAGCCTCCTTGGTCTCAGAAATATCACAAGCACCTCTGGGAGCTGGGTAAGGCAATCAGGAATTACAGTCCATGCTGAGGTAATTACAAAGCTGTTTACAGGTGTCGGGAGACTTATGTGTAGCGGGTTTGGAAAATGGAGGGGAATGGGGAGGGGAAAGCTGTACAGAAAAGGAGCCACCTGACTTAAGACTTGGAGGTGGCACATAAAGCCGGAGCCGAGTGGCCAGGGCGAGGGTGAAACTGTAGAGAACTGACTGAATGCCATGCTAAGGAGCTGGAATTTTACTGAAGGTGACAGATTATATGATCAGACTTGCATTTTAGTACCCTGACTCCAGGCATTTTTGGATATGGTAAGGTTGAAGTACTCGCTGGACCTTTGGTAAGAACTGTTGCTAAATTGAAAACACTATCTGTAACTGCAGAATGGCCCTGGGATTAATTTGAACAATTTACACAATGCCCATTTTAGTTCCTGCATCTCACTTATTTTTCAATTTTCAATCTTCACAACTACCCTTAGGTACCAATACAAAGAAACTGAGGCAGAGACAGTACCTTGTTGAAGCTGATTAAGTGGTCAAGCCTGGCTCTGAATTCAAGTCTTGAGCCCATATTCCCACTCATTTTCTACTGCCTCTGTAGCAAAACATGGGACATTTTCTTTTTTCCCTTCAGGGTGGCCAAAGCTCAATTATGGAAGCAATAGTGGCTTCTCTTGAAAATGAATCCTGGGTTCTGGGCCCCTGCCAAAACCCCTCTTCAGCTATTCCAGGGTCAGAGAAGCATCTGCATAAGGTACACTCGTCTTGGCCAGCTTAGTTTCACATTGGCACGTATGGCTCCATCCAGTATAACTTTTTCCCAAGACAATGTGGATTTTTATGGGAACCTTGTGGTTTTAAGTGTTGGCTTGACTTTTAAATAACTAGTGTAGGGAGAAGAAAGAAAAAAAACCACTATAATTACTAAATTAGTATTCCTTGCTTTTTAAAAACTCAAGGCAACACCTGAAAATATTACACTGGGATCACGTACTTCTGAAGTTGTGATGGTTAATTTTATGTGTCAATTTCCCTGGGCCAGGGTGTCCAAACAGTTGGTGAAACATTACTGTAGATATTTCTGTGAAGGTGTTTTTTGGAGGAGATTAACATTTAAACCAATGAAGTTTCAGTAAAGCTCATTATTCTTCATGTGGGTGGGCCCCATCAAACTAGTTGAAGGCCCTAATAGAAAAAGACCAACCTTCCCTGGAAGAGGAAATTCTGTCAGCAGACAAGTCCGGACTGGAACCGCAACTCTTCTTGGTTCTGCCGCCTTCAGCACTACCCCATCAGATTTTGGACCTGTCAAACCTCCACAATCCCATGAGCCAATTCCTTAAAATAAATCTCCGCAAACACATCCTGCTGATTGTTTCTCTGGAGAACCCCAATACAGAAACTAAACTTGTCTGGCCTCCACCACTCAATAAACTTACATTCTAAGAGCCAGCCTATTGAAGCTTTTTATGGGGATGGGACAATCCATGCTCTTCCCCCAAAACAGGAAAGGGAGGTGTTGTCTCATTCTTGTATAACCCTCAAATACTTTAGCTCAAGAAGACAAATTTAATAAATCAAATATTTTCTACCTAGACTCTGCTGTCCAATACCAAGTTATTCTTGACGTATTGTAAATCAGAAATTATTACTCATCTAGGAATTGCCAGAAATTAAAATGTTTTTATATAGCTCATTGAATCCCAAGGCAATACAAAGGAAGCTCTATCCCCATCTCCTCCAAGAAAACTGAGACAGTTAAATTTGTAATTTAATGGCAGAGATTTGAACCAAGAACTCAAAATCATTTTATGAACCCTAAACTCTTAGTCTTGCTTCTACTGTTCCCAAAAGGAAGCCTTAATGTTCCATAGAAAAACTCTCTAAACAAAGGATGAATCTGATTCGACAATGACACCCGAATATAGGGAATAGCTGGACGAAGACATATAGATTAAATTGCATTCGTATTGAAGTAGTTGTCAGGTGGTTACTGAAGAGTCTAAAGATAGGCTCTACTGCACAGAGAAAAATTAAAAAAACTTAAGGTCTCAGCAAACTAGTAGTTTAACACTAGGGGCATAAGGAAACTTAATGTTATGGTGAGGACTGACCTAGGCAGCTGTTTGGTTCCAGGGAGGGATGTCGAACCACCCAGAACAATTTTTCAAGAATCCAGAAATACAGACTTTTATGTGAATATTCTGGTTCTTAGATATTGATTTAAAAACAGTACAGCACCCTCTCTCACCAAAAGTCTGGGGCCAAACAGACCACCAGTTTACCACCTGTTTTCCAATATTCTTCTAACACTAACTGTATTCCAAAAATGACCAAACTGGGATTAAAATATTCAGTAGCTACTCAGTTTTTCCCTGCCCTAATACAAAACCCTAGAAACTAAGTCATTCTATTTTAAGTGGCAAGAGGCATTTCACTACTCATAATGTAGATTTCACTCACTGATACAATTACTAATTAGAGCCAATCTCTTAACCTATTTCTACTAGTCAAAGCTCCACAATAAATTGGGAATATTTCCTACATTCCACCCTACATGCTATTACATTTCATTTCGAATATTCTACTTTTATTCAGTCTAAACAAGACATAGTAGTCATTAGCAAATTTATCAAAGCAAAAATTTCAGATTTAGCTTACAGGTCTAGAGGAAAATAAATGAAGCTCTTCAACTTCAATCTGTATATACTATTGGTTTTCCTCATGATTAACTAATTATCATTCATGGAGAAAAACGATTTTACTCCTTCAAAGTAAAGGGGAAGACTAAAAGTATACTTTTTTCCTCCCTTAAAAGAAAAAACGATTACAGGACAACCAAAATCACATTTGCATTTCTCTTTTGTAACACATTACCAACTAGGTCCTGATTTACGAATGAAAAACTAAACAAAATCTCAGAATATAAAACCAAGAAACAAGCTAAACTGCATACATAATTTGATCAAGAAACTAACACTGGAATATTACCCTGACAAAAAAGAAAGCACATGCTCAATGATCACATTCCATATTTCAGAGGAGAGGCATTGAGGATTCATGCAGTAAGTTTATTTACAAACATATTTAGTATGCTGAGTTCAAGAGTTTGATTCATTTTTCACAGAGACTGCACCTCTTAAAATGCTTCTCTTCATATCTGTGAATAAAAACACAAAAAATTAATGGTATTAAAAACATCCCATTCACTTAACAGAAATCACGTAGTTTCATTAAGGTACTGTCTGTCCATCAATTTATGACTGGTACATCAGAAAGCGTTTACAGTATCATGACTTAGTCATACTGATTTGCTTCATCACATGCACCAGAATCTTTCCGGATTAACGGCTTGGAAAAATCATTTCCCTTCTAAACCATAACAAAGTCTTTCTTTTCCAAAGTATACTTCGGAATTTATTCCGATCAACCCACAGCTTTCTACAGTGTTGCTTTGAGAAAAATTCTGATTATCATTGAGCTAAATAAGTCTTTTCTACTCAGGCAGGGAATCAGCTCAGCTCCCAGGATACAAGACTCCTGTGGGCACATGCTAACATGTATCGCCCTAAAGATAGACTAACATTAATCAGTCTACTAGAACTTTACCTGGTTAAGAGTGTGAGCTCTGGAACAAGACTGGGTAAAAATCCTGGTCCACCATCACTAGCTATGGGACATTGGGCAACTTAACGTCTTTGTGTCTCAGACCAGGTTTAATATCATCCACTTCACAGGCTTGTGAGGGAACCACGTGAGATTAGTAATGTAAAGAGTGCCTGACAAACAGTAGTACTCAATCAACACTGGCTTTCAGGCAAAGAAACATTTGTTTATAGGTCTATCAACCTATCTCCACCAACATCACATCTACACTTAACTTTAGGAATTAGCCCAACACACAAAAATGTATTTATGTTGGGGGGGAGGGGGCGGCGGTGCAGGGGCAAGAAGGGAGGAAGAAAGGGAAAGCATAGCTTTGGGAAGATTAGAAATCCATTAATTACCTGTTTCATGGATTAACTAAAACATCCTTATTTCTTAAGCAGTTGGTGTCTTACTATAAAGAAAGGTGCAGCAAATCCAGATCCAAAGTACAGAGTCATCACAGCTAGTAACCGCCACTTGTTTTCCACTGAAAATGGCACATTCTGTTAGGAAAAAAACAGAACGAGCCACAAAAACAGAACTTCAAGTCATCTGATTTTACAGATCAAAAATAAGTACACAAAGAATGCTAAATAATTCTTTTACATAATTAGGTTATATATGCCACACATCATAGCACCTTTTTAAACACTATTACCTTTCAAATCCTATGACCTTCATCAGACATAAAATTAGAAGGTAAAACATATCTAGTTTTACTGAGCACCAAGCAGAGGTCTTAAGGACTCAGGTGTAAAACAGAAATTTTAGAAATTTAGAAAATCGAAAAAATGGACTCTCCAAAGCAGTTATTTTAGATACAGAAAGCATGTTCTAGTTCACTATTCGTTAGAAACTAGCCGCCTACTACAGGCGCGCGGCAACGTTAACTGCACCAGAGTTGCACTTGTGCAGAACCAAGCAGCCCGACCCTGTGCCTCATAACCAGGCCTCGCGTGACCTCCGAGGGTGTTACTGCGGACCACCCTATTGACGGCATTTATACTTGAGGCTAAACCCAACCTCAACCAAGGAGGGTTAATACTTCTAGTTTAGTCAACCGGTTAGGTAAGACTGGACCCACAACCACAGGCCCTCATATCCTCATTAGTTTCCCCTGACCTTCACTCCGAGTCGGGTGACCTCTAGCTCGGCGTGAAGCCGCAATACCTGCAGCCATGCTCTCCAGGGCCTTCCTGAGCCTGGAGGGCGGCGGAAGGAAGAGCGAGGGCGAGGCAAGGCCTCCGGTTCTACCTAGTCAACCTTTCCGCGGGGACGGCGCGCAGCCCGGGGCCTGAGCTGCCCCCGTTCCCCGGCGGCAGGGGAGTGCTCGGCGGCGTCCCTGCTCACACTCGCCGCTTACCACCTCCCTCTCCACGGCCCGCCGCGGCCTCGGAGCTGAGCGAGCCGCACCAAGTGGCCCTTCCCCTCCAAAGCCGGGCCCTGACACACTAACCTTCCCTGGGCCCTCCTCATAGTGGCTCCTACGGACCACAGAAGTTGTGAACCTCCGGATGCTGTGTCCCAACATAACGCGGTCGGAAGCTCTGCGACAGGCGCAGAGACCAAAGGCAGAAGAAATGGCGGCACCAGCCCAAACCCTCCTTTTCTCACGACCTTGTTCCCGGGAGTGCAAGAACCGAAAGGGAAGATGGGAAATGGGACAGAGCTCTCGGAAAACGCGACAAAGCAGCTGCCTCCGAGGATTGTGGGAATTGTAGTTCAGAACATAGCGGCAGCTTGTAGGCGCTGAAGGATTGTGGGAACTGTAGTCTGACGCCACGCTTCTGGAGGACCACACCAACGTCGTTTCTTACTAACAGTGATTCATTCAGGCTTGAATTCTTGTCAGGATTCTTGGGGCCCGTATGCAGAACGGTTTTGCTGAATTCAGTGAAGCAGTCTCACCACGTGTGCTCTAGTTATGGAACAGGAAGATCAACCTCTCCCTTTTCTTTTTTTGTAACTATATTCCAGTTGCCTGCGATTTGGCAGTAACTTTGCGAGCGCTGAGAGAGATGTCTGCTGTGATCTTATCTGAGGAGATGAAGCGTAAACACAAGTAACCAAACAATATGCGGGACAAAGCGTGTCAGAGAGAAAACTGAGCTGAAGTGCTAAGGGAGGAATTCCTGAAGATAGAGGGAACTGAACAGAATTAGAGACAGAAGGCAGAGAAAACTCAAGGCCAGTCTGAGTGCGGCATGTTCAGAGCGTGGAAAAGACAAGCAGCCTCTGATATCTGGCGCTAGCCCGGACCAGGAATTGGTGTTCTCCTGCTGAATGTAAACATTTTCACAGAACATCAACATCAGACAAAATTACCCTGTGTCAGTGATGGATCAAGAAAAGAGTAAGATCACTCTATTATCATATCTGAACATAGCCAAAACATGAACATTGTCCGATTCACAAAAATGACCAAACACCGTCGTATCCAGTCTAATATGATGACTTCTGCTCCTTTACCAGTTACAACCTTAACCTTGGACTAGTCTTTCTTCCTCCTAAGTAAGAGAGCCAAAGTCAAACTGAGACAGACATCTCGGTGGGCTTGGTGCAGCCCTACGTTAAATAAGTCTGTACATAAAGGAAGCCATGTCTACCTGAAGTCGGCCACACCTTCTGTGACATGGAGCAAGTCAGAGGCTCGTGCATGCCTGCTACAACCCGCTGGGCAGAGGGGCCACAAACTGAACGCAGCTCCAGAACCAATTAGCCAACTGATCACATGCCCCGAGGTCCAATCCCCAGCTGCAGGGACCACTTCCCCCGTCCAGAACCCCTGAAAGAAACCCCCTTGACTCAGCTCAAGACTGCTCTGGCTGGTTTCCAAGACAGCCCAGGCTCTCTACAGCCTATCCCTTTCCCTTTCCTAAGTCTTGCTTAAGTGCTTAATAAAAGTAGTTTGTACTTTATTCTGTGTCTCTCACTTGAATTCTTTCCGGAGGATGCCCAAGGACCCACTTTCACAGTCCTGGGGCTCTGGCTAGGGTACCTGGCCTGGTAACAAAATAAACCCAAATCCTGTAATAAGCCCTAACACCCTGCTGAGATGCCCAGGGTTCCTCATGGTATTTGGGTTCCCTTACAGCAACGGGTAAGAGACCCAGCTTGTTCAATTATAGGTGTGTTCCTGGTGGTCTTTGACTAGTGGGCATTGGGAAGAAACCAGTGATTAAGGAAGCTGGGAGATTGTGAAGGGCCCTGCTAACCTAAGTTTTATATTATTTATCTTGTGTTCCTGGTGGTCTTTGCCTAGTGGGCATTGGGAAGAAACCAGTGATTAAGGAAGCTGGGAGATTGTGAAGGGCCCTGCTAACCTAAGTTTTATATTATTTATCTTTGGGGAGTGCTTCAGATGGCTCATTTATACAGCAGTAGTAAACAAAGTTGAATAAGACCTAGGTCTTGCTTTGAAAACTGGGTATAAAATGTATTCTTTAATCTTTCTTTAACTTTTGAAAGAGAAAGGCCATGTTTACCCCTGACCAAAAAAAACCTTTAAAAATATTGTTTTATTTCTACAAGTAACTTCTGATTGATAGAGAGGTGTGTAATACATTATAACTGGTGTTCTCCACCTAATAGATAGAGGATATATGATACTTGATTTTTTTAAAAGTCCCACTCAGTGCCTTTACGTATTAAAGGATTCAGGTTTAACTATAATTGGGAAACATTTTCACATTTAATATTTCTGGATTCTCCTTTTCAGTCTAATGTAAGTCATATCACCTGTATATTTGGTTCATTGTTACTTCTAATTCACTTTAATTGAGTCTCCTCTGTGTATCTGGCTTTCAGCCAACTCCAAAGGGAATCCAGGAGAGATTCTAGCATATGACTTCAGAATTGTCTGCCTCCTCATGGGCCCCGTGGCAAATTAAAGATAGCTGCAAGTTATTTTTATCAAGAGGTGGGGTTTATGCCTTCTCTCCCTGAATCTGAGTGGACTCTGACTATTTTGACCAAGAGAATTTGGCAAAAGTGATGCTGTGGCAGTGTCTTGCCCAGACTTATGATAGTGGGGGCTTCCATTCCTGTCTTTTGGAACACTTGCCCCTGGAAGTCTGAGCCTTCATGTAAGAAGTTTGGCTACTCTGCTGGAGAGGCCTCCTGGAGAGTACCCAAGAATCTACCAAAAGGAGGTGGAGGTTGGCTCACGCATCAGGCATGTGAGTGAAGCTATCTTGGACCCTCCAGCCCAGTCTAGCTGCCTGCTGAATATCACTGAGTGACCCAGGTCAATGCTGTGTAGAGCTGGTGCAGAAGGGAGAGGGGCAGGTGACTGGCTTATTAGGGATGGGGGTTGTGGGGCTTTTATTAGGCAAGGGTTGGGGAGGAGTGCCTTTCACAGCATGTAGAGGTGAGGCTGTGCTTACACCTGCTCTGTCAGGTAGCATGCTACTACATGTGACACACGTATCATTAGCATGCTATCTTTCCACCCCTGGGTGTGATTTTTACTATGGTAATGGGGCTAGGGTCACCTTCAGTGGACTCCTGGGTGCTAGGGCACATGAGTAACCCTGGGAAAGTCCAGAGGCTGCGGAATGTGGGTCTTGGTGGCCTCTATCTGATTCTCCTAGCTTGACAATTGGTTAGGAGCCTTATCTTGTTAGGCCAGGGGCTTTGCAGATGTCCCTGTCTCCTTAGGCTTGTTCCTGTCTCAGATTCAGTATGATACTCTTTTTTCTATAAAATGAATTTTAAGAGAAACAAGACATTTCACAAATTGCTACAAAATAGAAAACATCTTTAGGGACATGAGGTTTACTCCAAAGTTGTATTTTAAAAATAAAATCCAATTATTTTAAGTAGCAAGTAGAGTGTATATCATAGAGTGAGCAATGTACTTTCTAGACCCACATGAGTCTTTGGAGACTGAAATTACATTATATAGAACAGTATATTCAAAAATTAAAGTACAATATTTGTCATTTCTCTCAACAGCTACTATATTAGATTTTTAAGAACTAGGTTAAAGTTTATTTAAAAATAAATCATGTAGAGAAGAAATTACGTTTCTATCCTACATTAAAAAACTCAAGTTAACAAGTTTCTTTCGTCTTAAGTTTCTAGAATTTTTTACTACTGTAGAGTTAAAGCCAGAACTCGGTGTTAATTTTTATTTGAAATTTTACATTTGTAGGGGATAAAAAACCTGGTTTCAGGAAAGGAGAAAATGTGATTCCACTGAGGCAAGCAGGGTTGGAAAATATTCTGCCAGCCTTCTGAGTGATTTAGTGATAACCAAATGGAAGAAAAGTTTTTGCAAAAAATACTTGATCAAACTGTATGTTTTACTCTTCTTCTTGCTTCATTACTTTTGAATACCATTTTTTCCTTAAAATATTTCATGTTTTTTATTCCAACTTTATTGCTTAATCCCTATGTAGGTTTAAGGATGTTTCACTATTTTGTAAAATTACTTCATAATATAATTATTTGTCACTGAGAATTGCCAAGTATAGGTAGATACATTTTTACAAGACGAATACGGAAACTAACATTTGTCACTTTGAAAATTGCAGATTCTAGTTATATTTATGTTCCATCTCCATGTTGACTTAACTTGCAATGATACTTGTTATCATTCCTTTGATCAGCTTTCTTTAAATTTACTGTGGTGTTTCCTGCTTGTTTCTATAACTGGAATACTAAATGATTAAATTGTTTCATTTATTTATTTTAGGGAAATGCGTAATTTAGTTGAGGAAGGGGATTTTGAAATGAATTTGATTCATCATTATAAACAGAAATCCTTTTTTGTTAGAGTAGAAGTAAGAAAAACATAGGAGCTATTTGAGAGTAAAACCAACTTTCTTGCATTACATATGATGATTGTATAGAATTATGCAAATAAGGGCTATCTGGAAATGTTGATTTACAACCAGGCCCATTATTGGTGATCAATGCGTGTAAGCTGCTGCTGCTGTTTCTACCATTTAGGTGAGTCTGCAGGAATCCAATCAAAAGCACTCTGTTCCTCTAGACAATGGGCTGGCAACTACATGGTTAATACAGTCCATCAAGATTTGTTTGTTTATGCTGTAACAGTTTTCCTATTTGGCTTTTCAGTTTGGACTTATAATTAAGAAAAATAGGATTTACTCGAGAATAACATTTATGCACTTTGCATAAATTATTACTGAATTCACCAAACAGTTCTTTTAAACATTTCAGCTAATTATAACATTATTACACAAAGCAGGTTAGGTTTTATTTCCACTTCTCCCCACATCCCTCAATTAAGCTGGACCCTCACTGAACAGCATTTAAAACTGTATCGTTGCCCTTGAATTGTGCTCAGCATTTTCTTACCACTTGGTACTAAGGGACTTTATAAATAACAGACTTATGAAACTCATTGCTGGGTTTACTGTGAAGATTGTTTAGTTTTTTCTTTGAGGATGTGTTTCAATATATTTCACAGTGTCATTTTTATGAGGACCCATAGGAGAAATTTCTCTTTGGTGTTAGGTCTAGAATAAACATGCTTCTCCTGGGTAGCTGACTTGTTTTCGCCTTCTGAGTACTGTGAATAACAGACTTCCTTGTGAGTTCCTCCTTATACTGGTGCCTAGAAAGCTTAGAGCCAAAGCTTAGACCCACCTTCAGTGGAGACTGTGGATGTATTTTGTGTAC